TATGTTCAGAAGCAGTCGCCAGTAATTTAAATTAAGCAATATATTCCATCCCTGAAAATAGTCATAAAAATTGGGGTGGCAACATTTAAGCTGTGTTTACTAATCTTAGATGAAACTGTTTAATCAAGTGAAAAGGCAGCTATGATTAAATCAGTTAACACTTCCTTTTTATAGGTTGAACATTTCAATATAAAAATATAAATTTAAGAAGTGCAGATGGTGGAGGAGGTATCTTCCCTACCACACACAACTTTCAATTTACACCTGGAGGGAATTCCTGTTTTAATAGCATGCCTGTTGAGACCAGTATATGTAAGATGAAGGATAGCAGACTAATCAAATAAGTTGTAGCGTACTGATTAAATCTGCACACATTTGCAAGTGTGTGCAGATTTAATCAGTCGGGTTACAACTTATTTGATTAGTTAGCTAAGATTGCTTTAAAGGGTGTGACAGCGCCGTTAAGAATGGAATCATCTATGCTGGTCGTAGGTTGTAGGCTTGGGCGTGTATTCCACAGCCAAGGCCGGCCCACCCATGAGGGGGTGAAGTGACCCCCTCAGGCGGCAGGATCCACAGGGGCAGCAGATACCGATGTGGATCTCATACCCTCCAACATTTCTCCAGTGGAAATAAGGACATCCTATTTTATAATAATGTGAATAATTTTATTACTTGTACCCCCACCCATCTGCTTGGGTTTCCGCGGCTACTCTGGCAGCTTCCAACATTTATAAAAAGCATCACACGTTAAAACAACTTCCCTATAGAGGGCTGCCTTGAGATGTTTTCTAAAGGTTGTATAATTACTTATCTCCTTGGCTCGAAGGTTGCATAACTCTACACCCTCCAACATTTCTCTGGTGATAACAGGGACATCCTAAGGAAAAGCGTGTCTTACCAGGATCAAATCAGAAACTGGGACGACTTCTGTAAATCCAGGACTGCCCCTGGAAAACAGGGACACTTGGAGGGTCTAGCCCACGGGTGTCAAACACAAGGCCCGCGGGCCAAATCTGGCCCGCCAGACCTTGTCATGTGGCCCGTGTAGACGCCGCCGCCGGCCGCCAGCCTTCATCTTTTATTCTCGCTTTCTTTTTTTTTACACAAGAAAGTCGCCTCTTTAGTGCAGGCGCGGCAGCCTACAAGCCAGAGAACGTCAGCCCTCTAGCGGCGCCGGCCGTTCTACACAGGAAACCTCCACTTTACATGCATTCAGGAAACCTCCACTTGTTTTTATATTGAGCGCATATTGAGTCCAATAGATACAACCGGCCCTTTGAGGGTGACCAAACTGCTGATGCGGCCCCCGATGAATTTGAGTTTGACACCCCTGGCCAGCCCCTTGTTACTGGCGTGAATCTTCACCAACCACTTCTTCCTTGAGAGGGAGGGGGCACCATTTTGTGGTTCACATCAGTTGCCAAGATGTCTTGGCCCCGTCCACAGCAGAGAAAGATGCTACATGGAGTTGGACTGAAGAGGTTACCTGGTCAGAGGAAGCATGTGAGAGATCTGTATTGGCTCCCAGTACGTTTCCGAGCACAATTCAAAGTGTTGGTGCTGACCTTGAAAGCCCTAAACGGCCTCGGTCCTGTATACCTGAAGGAGCATCTCCACCCCCATCTTTCTGCCCGGACACTGAGATCCAGCGCCAAGGGACTTCTGGCGGTTCCCTCCTTGCGAGAAGTGAGGTTACAGGGAACCAGGCAGAGGGCCTTCTTGGTAGTGGCATCCGCCCTGTGGAACGCCCACCCATCAGATGTGAAGGAAATAAGCAGCTATCCTATCTTTAAAAGACATCTGAAGGCAGCCCTGTTCAGGGAAGTTTTTAATATTTAACGCTGTACTGTTTTTAACACTTGATTGGGAGCCGCCCAGAGTGGCTGGGGAGACTCAGCCAGATGGGCGGGGTATAAATAATAAATTATTATTATTATTATTATTATTATTATTATTATTATTATTATTATTATTATTTGTAGTTGTGCTTAAGCCCCATACAACAACTCATTTGTAAATTAAGCACTTCACCTATATTCTCTCTCTCTCTCTCTCTCTCTCTCTCTCTCTCTCACACACACACACACACACACACACACACACACACAAATATTTTTTCCAGCAAACCACCAATCTGAACCTGTTTTCTACCTCCCATTTCAATCCTTGCCAATACCTTCTCCCCAGAGGAGGAAGGATGGCCTGCAAGTAGGGAGTGGGGTGGGGAATGAAGTAACAAGTGCCATAGCCAACTTTTTTCCTCCTCTCGTTTTTGAGAGGAGGGAAAAAAACCCCTAACACAACAAAATGCACGAGAGCTAAAAAGGTCAAGTGAAAGAGGAGCATCGAACTTTTTGGGGTGAGGGGAGGGTGTAAAAACCAAACTGAAAGGCAGAGCAGACTGGCAAAAAGGCACAACTTAAAAGGGCCTTTTTTGCCAAACGGGACTTACCTGGACCGCGGCTATTACGCCTTGGCTGTTAAACAAAAGGAGGAGCAAGGGGACTTGGCTGGTGAATTTTGGCTTGTCCTCGCCCTAAGGATAGCAGGAAGCAGGCGGTCAAAAATAAATGATGCTGGTGGTAGGTGGAAGGGGGTGAGGGGGGCAGAAAGGGAGGGCAAAACCCAGAAGGACAGGTGTATGAACTGGGGTAGGGTGCTCCCTCAACTCTCTCTCTGGGCCTGATCAATGGGAGTTCATAATTATGAGGGTGCCTCTGAGCATGTGCTAAGTACATTTCCGGGACAACCTGCCCCACCCTCCAACAAGCAATGCTGGAGATGGGAGCAATGGGCTTCTCAGACAGACATGCTGCGGATTCAAACCCCTCTTTAGGGATTAAACACTGAACTCTCTCGGCAAACTGTAGGATGGGAACCAGGTGAGTAGAGCTGTGGGGCTGGGGAAGGCAGCAGTGAGCTGGAGAAGATGGGGCACTTACAGTGGTGAGCACACAGTGATGGTGCCCTGGCTAGGCTCACAAGGATCATTAAAGATGCCTTGGGATTTTGCACAAAAATACACTGGTGTCAGAGCAGACTTAAGGATCCTTGTGTGGGGCAGTGCTACCACCCCAGAGAGATTGTGGGGAGAGGGGAGGCCTAGCCTCTCAGCTGTGCTCACTTAAGCCACATTCACACCAGGTATTTAAAGCACCATGGTACCACGTGAAACAGTCGTGGCTTCCCCCAGAGAATTCTGGGAGTTGTAGTTTGTTAACCATTCCCAGAATGGTTTAGCGATCAGCCCCTCTTCCTGGGGAACTCTGGGAATGGGAACTCTGTGCAGAGCTGTCAACATTTCCCTTTTCTTGCGAGGAATCCTATTCAGAATAAGCGACTTTCCCTTAAAAAAAGGAAAACATTGACAGCTATCACTCTGTGGGAGGAAAAGCATTCCCCGGACAACTCTCAGCACCTCCCAGAATTCTTTGCGGTGGGGGAACCATAACTGCTTAAAGTGGTATCCTAATGCTTTAATTCATATGCTGTGAATGTGACCTTTACAGTAATTAGCATGGACTTGGGGCACAGCACCACAGACCCCAGGGCTGGATTATGGCCAACAGGGAAACAACTGCTTCTAGAGAAGGGCCTGTCGCCACGGCTTCCTGGTTTCCTAGCAACAGCTAGGCTGCTGCCTCACTGGTTTCCTAGCAACAGCCTCCCTGCCATGACCAGAGGAGTCGCAACCCTAGCCTCTGTAACATCCCAATCCTGAGCCCAATAAGTGTGGTTGAGTACTGAGGCGGGAAGGAGAGGGTGCCCAGCCACACATCACTTCCTGACCAATACGGTGCAGGAAAAGGTGATGAATTGGGGGGACGGGGGAGCAAGCAAGGTCTCCAGGGAGCAGGGAGCAGTGCTGGCAAGCAGAGCCACGCTGAGATCAGTGGCGGGAGCTGCAGGAATCAGCGAGGTCACCCTTCACAGAGGGATGGACCTGGGCATGCTCCCTGAACATGTAAGCCCCTCCAGCCCCCTACTGCTGAGCCAGTGGCAGCCAACTGCCCCTCACCAGCCACTGGATGTGGGGCTGCTGTGCTTCGCTCACTTTCTTTTTACAGGGCGTCCACACTATGCCGCAGCTGAGGGGTGGACCATCTGCTTTGCATGGGCAAAGGCCCAGATTCTATCTGCAATGGCGTCTTTCTCACTATAGCCAGCTTCCTATGGCGTCCTGGGTTTTGCCTGTGGTTCTCCTGTCTCTTCTGTGACCACAGGAAGGCCTGCTCCCCCCCCAAAAAAAAGAGGCATTCATGCTTTTTCACACTACTTTTCTGACTTAAAAAAGAAAGGTGGGGTTTTGTCATGGGCTTTAATCAGGCAAGTGAACCTACCATACCTCAGCCTTTTGCAATGGGCAACATTATTAAATCCTTGTTTGTTTTTGAACCCTTATCTTTTAATTAGTGCCAAAATGCTTTTCTAGCTATGTTTTTCTTAAAATAAAAAGACAGGTACCGTGCTACAACCCCCCCATGACGCTATATTAAAAATAAGTATTTCATTTTGACAAATATCAGCACAGTGTAAAACTTCTCGTAAGAAGTAATGCAGTTGAGAGCAACAGTCATGTTACATTTTCAAAGCACATAACATTTCATGTCAGCTGTAATTATTCCATAATTTAATTTTAAAATTATAGCCAGAAAAGCCCTTCAGAACTAATTAAAAGAGCAGTTGGGGGGGGACAGATGGGGGGTTATAAAATGTCTCCCACCACAAGTGTCATACTGAGTGTGTTCTGAGCTTCAAATGACACGCCTACCGTGTGGACAGGGCATAATGGGATGTACACAAAGAAAAGGCACAATATTTCCAGGTGGTGGAGGAAAGTCAGTTGCAATTCCGCTTGTAGCTTACAACGGAAGAGCAATGATTGGATTGTGGCAGGAGTCACCAATCAGGAAGCAGCCTCAGCCTCTCAAAATGGCACCCGTCATGACAGGAAGTGGGCGATGGCTGGAAAATGTCAAATGGCAGGGACCCTGGGAGGATATATTTCAAAACAAAAACACCATTATATAAAGGTGAAGGGAGATTCAGCGGTGTGACATACTGAGCCCAATGAAAAAGGATGTTTGTGGAATAGAACTGTTTAGAATGAGTGGAAAGGAGATGGCTTGGCGTCGCCGTCAAAACCCGCCACCCGAATTTAGTGCATTCTTTCCAGCCTCCACCCATCCGCAATGATGATATCAGTGCTGGCACTGCCCCAGGAAAGGCTGCTGGCAAGAACACCATCTGCGGCTCCTGAGGAAATGGCTTTGCACCAGAGGCTTTTCTGGCCCACCCACTAGTAACTGGGGAAGAGGGAGGGTGCAGGACTAGGAACTGTGAAGGAGGGGACATGCTTTTACCTCAACCACAGCCATGTTGCTGTTTTCTGCGTTTGCCGCCACACTCTTGAGGCTTTTCATGTCCGACATACTCTTTCGACTGTCGTCCATTTTCTGGGGGGATGAAGAGGGGAGGAGAACCATGAACTAAGGAACAGCTTTCTTATTCTTAACTTGGACCTTTATCATAAGTGACGCGGGTGGCGCTGTGGGTAAAACCTCAGCACCTAGGACTTGCCAATCGTATGGTCGACGGTTCGAATCCCCACGGCGGGGTGAGCTCCTGTTGCTCAGTCCCAGCTCCTGCCCACCTAGCAGTTCGAAAGCACTCTTAAGTGCAAGTAGATAAATAGGTACCGCTTTATAGCGGGAAGGTAAACGGCGTTTCCGTGTGCTGCGCTGGTGCTGGCTGGCCAGCTGCAGCTTCGTCACGCTAGCCACGTGACCCGGAAGTGTCTCCGGACAGTGCTGGCCCCCGGCCTGTTAAGCGAGATGGGCGCGCAACCCAAGAGTCGGTCATGACTGGCCCGTACGGGCAGGGGTACCTTTACCTTTAATGACCCCTTGCCAATACTGCAGCCCTCTAACATGGCATCTGCGTTCTCAAACAGTTCTGGCCCGACCATCATACCCATCCAACTGAAGGCGAGAATCTGCTCCTACATAACCAAAGACAGCAGCCCTTTCTGTCCACTGTCCTTTATTTCAGTTGCATGAAGCAACCGTCGTAGAAACCTTGAGTATTACTATTACTCGCATTGCCCCTTTTGATCCCTCTCTGACTTAGCAGCGCTCCATCTTGCCGGCCTCTCCTTAGTCTCCTCAATGGTCCTTTCCACAGAGACAAACCCCTCACCTTCTTGCTGTTCTGGGTATGGATGAAGGTCAAGTCATCCATGGTGAGGACAATCTTGTCAGGCCCCTTCATTAGCTGGGCATGCTGAAACTGCCGCCTGTGGGAATCAACAACACGAGCAGAGAAGAAGTAAAAAATGGTCGTTCGTAAAGATAAAGCAGGCATCACGGGGAGGTCCCGAAATCCGAAATGTCAGCTGTCCAGCAGACCTAGTCGCCAGGGGTGTTTGCGTAACTCACCTGAGATGGAAAGCAAGGGCGGCTCCACCCACCATCAAGCAGATAGCCAGGAGGAATATGAGGAGGATAAAACCAGCATTCACCCCTGAAGGAGAAGGAGAAGAGTGTTACCGCTGGGGACCACTTCCAGGAATAATATTATTATTAATAATAATAATAATAATAATTTATATCCCGCCCTCCCCAGCCGAAGCCGGGCTCAGGGTGGCTAACAACAATAAAACAGTACGACAGTACGACATAACACAGCACTCTAAAATCATTCATTATAAAATTAATTTAAATCAAACCAATGGTAACCATTGGGCCAGAGCTCCACAAAGATTGCTGAAGGAGGGAGTCGGGCTGTGCCCTGGCCCAAGGCCTGGTGGAACAGCTCCGTCTTGCAGGCCCTGCGGAAAGATGTCAAGTCCCGCAGGGCCCTAGTCTCTCATGACAGAGCGTTCCACCAGATCGGAGCCACAGCCGAAAAAGCCCTGGCTCTAGTTGAGGCCAGCCTAACCTCTCTGTGGCCTGGGACCTTCAAGATGTCTTTATTTGAAGACCGTAAGTTTCTCTGTGGGACATACCAGGAGAGGCGGTCCTGTAGGTACGAGGGTCCTAGGCCGTATAGGGCTTTAAAGGCTTGAGAGGCTATTTTCAGCTCCAGCTCCAGCTCCTCCTACTCATATATGGGGAGTTCCATGCAAATATCTCCACCCACCCCTGTAGTATTACAAATCCTGACAGAGATGCTTTTTGCCTTCTCCCCAGACTTTCCTTGTCTTCTCTTCCCTGCATGACTTGACCATAAGACACCCAAGCCTATGAAATCAACAGCTCCTTTCTCACCTTCCTAAAGCGCCTTTGTGGGCGCCGTGATCTCACCCCCCAAAAAGCACATCTTTTGGGGCTGCAAACTCACATGGGTCATGTGATTCACGCAGGAGTGTGGCGCTGAAAGACGTGCGTCCCAGTTGGAGGGTCTGCGAGTAGAGTATATGAGGTGGGCTGGCTACTGGCAGGACACATAGCTAGCGTATATGAGATTGGTTGATCGATCAACTGGATGGTATATTTGAAGTTGGTGGGATGGAGGGATGGATGGATGGCAAGGATAGAACAGGGCCTTCAGGATGGAGCTGACTTCCTCTCAAAATAAGGCAGGCACCTACAATCTTAGGCTTTCAATTCTTTTCACTTGGGCCTTCACAGCTTAGTATTAGTATCGCTAATTTCCCTTCATGACCAGAACTGGAGTCATGTGAAATTTGTTTCGCACTGTTTTTAATGGTACAATAATAGGTGGTATTCAACAAAATTTTATTTAGAATAGACCCACAGAAATTAACTTTGTGTGCAATTTTCCCTGATATACACAATTTTGCAAAGCGATTTCCCATAATATAATGACATTTCGTATGTTATTTTCAGTAACATATGCATTTTTCTACACATTACTGGAATGGAGAACTGCACTGTGAAATTCAGGGAAGAGCAAATTTCAAAAAGGGTGGCAGAGTCTCAGTTCTCGTATTGTTTTGGAAAGTTCAAATTAGGGAGGTAGGCCTTTAAATGTGAACCAAATTCCTCTCCATCCTTCCTCTCCCTCTCCATCCTTGCACACCCAGGCAGCTCGCTTCAGCACTCACCCCCACTGCAGATGGTGACCGAGTCAAACCAGCAGATGGAGTCCGTGTCTGGACTGGAACTGTGAGGCCAATGGATTGTGTGCCCAACGTAGCGCAGAGTTCGAGCACCGACGTTCACACTGTAGGTGGGCCAGAGGCGGTTGCCCTTCCCATTTGTGTCCAGTATGATATAGGGGAGCACGGCATCTCCGTATTCGTCGGCTGACACTGGCTGGCTGAAGCCTTCCAGCTCAAAGTCTTTGGCATGCTCTGCAATGGTGGAGCCCATCACCCACTTGCCGGACTTCCGAGTATTCTCCACTGCCTTGGCCAGGAAGTAGATGGAGTTAAAGATAGTACCAAACAGGGGGTGTGCCTTTAAAGAGAAGCAAGCAAGAGTTAGGACCAGGTTCTCAAATTCTGCAACCTGAATAAATGGTGCTAATTGATAACATTTGTTTCTGTTTTCTTGATTCCCCTCATTTGTTTTGCTCGCCTTACAAGAGTGAAGGCACCTCTGTGCTGTCCGACTTTGTTCATTGCTCTGCAATGCTGCCACGTTATTGCTGTCCAGAAGAGCTATAGCGCAACGAAAGCAGAACAAAAAAACCAAACAAACCAGAACATTGGGGGCACAAAAAAATGTGGGATTTCAGCAGGAAGTTACAGGATATGCACTGGTAAGAAAAGTAGTTGTATGAATGACCACCCCAAAACATTTGCAGGTGCAAACAGTTCTGAAAGTGGGATCGTGTAGGACTGCTCCAATAGCTTCATGACCACAAATCAGCATGAACATGCAACAGAATGATGTCTGGAGGGACCCTAAATAGTTTTGTGGGTGCTGAATTCTGTGCTGCATTATTACTTACTTACTTACTTACTTAAAATTACAGACTGCCCTCTCATGCCAACTATCAGGGCAGCGTGCAACCAGATTTACAAAGGGGGTAAAATACTTCTAAAAACAATGCACAATCATCATAAAAATGACTGGCTCATCTTAAAAGTTTAAACTGGGTGGTTCATAAAAAACTTTTTTTAAAAAATGTCTGCTCCAAAGGTCTTATCTTACTACACTAGGTATTATATAGCTATATCTGAATTTTCATGCATATCAGTTAATATCTTGAGCCTTCTCCACGAAAGTAGCTGTTTACTTGGCCATTTTCCTATGTTGTGAAGGCTGAAATTTCCATTTAGTGTAGCAGGGTCAAGATATTAACTGATATGCATGAAATTTCAGATATAACTATATAATACCTAGTGTAGTAAGATAAGACCTTTGGAGCAGGCATTTTCCCAAAAAAAAGTTTTTTATGAACCGCCCTGCTGCAGAATAGGCACACAAAAAGGTATCCAAGAGCCATCGGAAGGTCAGAAGTGAGGAGGCTTGCCAAACCTCTGCTGGAAGACTATTCCACAGCAGTGTTAAAACGCCCTTCACTCAGGCAGATCTAAAAATGAATGCAGTTGTGAGCACACAGTGCTCTGGACGGCATAGGGAACCTCCTAAATCTGAGCCTCTCCTGCACTATTTATACCCCGCCCATCTGGCTGGGTTTCCCCAGCCACTCTGGGTGGCTTTCAACAGAATATTAAAATACAACAATCTATTAAACATTAAAAGCTTCCCTAAACAGGGCTGCCTTCAGATGTCTTCTAAAAGTCTGGTAGTTGTTTTTCTCTTTGACATCTGGTGGGAGGGCATTCCACAGGGTGGGTGCCACTACCGAGAAGGCCCTCTGCCTGGTTCCCTGTAACCTCACTTCTCGCAATGAGGGAACCGCCAGAAGGTCCTCGGAGCTGGACCTCAGTGTCCGGGCAGAACGATGGGGGTGGAGACGCTCATTCAGGTATACTGGACCGAGGCCCTGCTGGGGCCATCCCTTGTACCTGCCCACTACCACCCACTGCCTCTTTCCTCAGATGCACCTTGTCAGCATCCAAGTGGCCAGGGATTTCCCTCTTCTCCTGAGCCTCCCTGAAAGTCTGCCGGAAGGACTGCTCCGGGGAGTCGATGGTGATGGTGAGCACCGCGTCGTAGGCCATGCGGAGTTTGAGGCTGTCATCCAGCACAGGGTAGGACTCCTTCTGGTAGGGCATGCTGTAAGTCAGGGCGTCGTAGGGGATGAAAACGTAGGTCCCGTCTGTCATACGCAGGTCCTCTGCCTTCTCCAGCAGGAGCCGCTGTTCCTCCCCACCCAGCAGGGCAGAGTGCATACACATGACGATCACTGGATAGGAAAGGAACGAGAAGGAGGAAATGGGAAGGGTAGACAGTGGGAAGGGTTAGGCCAGGCAAGGGTCAGCAAACTTTTTCAGCAGGGGGCCGGTCCACTGTCCCTCAGACCTTGTGAGGGGCCAGACTATATTTGGGGGGTGGGGAATGAATTCCTATGCCCCACAAATAACCCAGAGATGCATTTTAAATAAAAGCACACATTCTACTCATGTAAAAACACACTGATTCCTGGACCGTTCACAGCTGGATTTAGAAGGTGATTGGGCCGGATCCGGCCCCCAGGCCTTAGTTTGCCTACCCATGGGTTAGGGATTAGGAGGAAAATCAGTGTAAAGTCCAGAGCTCACCAAGGGACCGCAGTGAGATGAAGAGGGCCTCTGTGTATGTGCAAAGTGACTTTCTGCAAAATGGACTGCCTCTCCTAATATGAGCCAGCCCAGACCCTGCATTTATCCTCTCTCCATGTGCCCTCTCCGAAGGAGATGCAGAGAGCGGCAACACGAGAACAGGTCCTTTCTGTGGTAGCTCCCCACTTATGGAATGCCGTCCCCAGGAAGGGAAGCCTGGCACCATCAGTGGCTATTTTTAGGCAAAAGGCAAGAATGTTTCCATTCTGTCAGTTTGGGGGCTCTTTACACTGGAAAGTTTTAGATATTGCGACCTCCCTTAGGATGTCAGTAGGATGTGTTAGACTGCCTTTGATGTATGTGAACGCGTTTAGGTTTTATTTTGCTATAGCTTTGGAGCAGTTTTTATTTTTGCATTTATGTTTTAAGTTGCTTTGGGTTCCTTTTCGTAAAAAAAAGTGACCATTATAATAATATTCATATGCTATAGCCACATCCATAACATACATTTAATGCACGTTGCTTTCCCAAAGATCCTGGGAGATTTAATGTTTTAGTATTTTAACTTTTTGTATGTTTGAAACTATGGTAAGTTTTTCTTGATTTTATCTTTTTGCAAAGCGCTTTGAGGTGTGTGTGTTTCTAAACAATCAAGTAGTGTATAAATTTTATGAAATAAGTATCTTACACCTCACATACCTACTAGTTCCAGGACTCTGCATAGCTGTGATGTCTGACCACCATCCCTGCACAGCAACAGCAACAGCAGCCTTCGACTTCCAGATGTTTTGGGCTACAAACCATCACCCACCCTAGCCAGTACAGCCATGGGATGTTGTCCAAAACATCGGGATGACACCAGGTTGCGGAAGGTTGCTTTAGAACAATGTTTCCCAAACTTGGGTCTCTAACTGCTTTGGGACTACAATTCCCATCCTTGCTGGCTAGCAGGACCAGTGGTCAGGGATGATGGGAATTGTAGTCCCAAAACAGCCGGAGACCCAAGTTTGGGAAAGGTTGCTTTAGAACCACAAGCAGTCTTACCATCAGGAAAGTGAGGCATTCCTTCTCAAGCAGCTGATTTTTTTAAAATCCCCCGACTTGGCTAGAAGGCTGGCGGGGGGAGAAGCCTGCTCCTCCCCGTCGCCAGCCCCGCAAACTCGGGGGACAGCGGGAGAGGCGCAGCGCGCCATCCCGCTGTCTCCCGACATGGTTTGGAGGCTGGCAGAAGGCTTCCTCCTCCCCCAGCCCCGCAAGCTCCCAGAGCGATGCCAAAGCTGCGCGCAGCTTCGGCATGGCTCTGGGTCCCGTTCTGGGGGAGGGGGAAGCTCGGGCTTCCCCGCCCCAGCCCCGCGCCTGGCGGGGGGGGGGGGAATAAATTTTTTTTGCCTTTATTTCCCCCCCCCCAAATCTAGGTGCGTCCTATGGACCGGTGCGTCCAATAGTCCGAAAAATACGGTATATTGTTACAGGTGTGCCAGTTTCTGCCCAACATGGGGTGGCACATGCCTGTGACGTCCCATGTTGGGAGGGGGCCCAACGGGACTTGTCACACCCCCTGAAAGGCCCAGCAAAGCCAGCCACGGCTGCAGCTAGGCCCGCTGTAGCCTAGTCAGAGCTACAGGAGGGTGTGATGGAGACCACTATGGCTGCAGCTCCTCTTGCACGCTCACACACACCTCTGATTCATCCTAGTGCACCTCTTCCCCAGACACACCTTCTTCCAAAGTAAGCTTTCAGTGAGTGGAGAAATCAATTAGCAGCAGCTCCTCAGCTCCACCTTTCTCCGACATGTTGCCTTCCCCCTTGCCTTCAGCTGCCCACCCACATTCTGGATCTCTTCAGCTGCCCCTTCCATCTGGGTGCCTTGCAGCTGGGCTCCTGGGTCACTTTCAACCCCCTGTGGCATCTCATTTGGCAAGGCCCTCACCTCGCATGGAGTCACACTTTCCTGTCCATGGAAGCTTCTCACCCAAGCTACTCTTATTCTATCAAACTGCTCACTTTGTCACTGCTCTATTCTCTCAAGCCACTCGAGGGCTGTTGCTATTCCTCCATCCATCTCTACTCAGGCACACCTCGCTCACAGGCCCTCCTCCAGGAAACAGGAATCCCACATCTGACACCACTGTTGCACGCCACCCCAATCTCTCAGTGGTGTGAGGTTCTAGTTGCTTACCCATGGTTCATGTTTCCTTGTGGAGCGAGGCACAGCGGAAACTGTGGTGTCTTTATGATATATGGTTTATTTATACACATATATACCCTGAGCCCACTGTGGAGGGGTTCGTAGCATTGACACCCCAAAAGGGCCTTGCTTCTCCCACAGCCACTGCCTTGGATTCAAACAGAAATCAAGCAATGCTCAGACTCTCTCTCTCCAGCTTGCTGCTTTGCTTCTGAGCTCACACTACTCCCAGCTCCCTGCCTTTGTCCTTCTAACTAGCCGTGAGTTAGGGGAAGGGGCCCAACCCTTTTGCCATCTTGCACATATCGCCTTCCTTTGCTTACTTAATGGACCATTACCCAGGCTATCATTTCCACAGGATGCTAGCCTGGCTTATATTTTAACACATGCGGGATTCAGGGGTTAAGAGGGTCTCGGCATACAGCATACACACACACACCCAGCAAACTCAGATGTTGGGTATGTCACCATTATCCAACGTGGACCAATTCATGGAGGGCAATCGTAGGGTGTTGCAAACTATATCTGGAAAGTTCCCGGGGGTCATTAGAAGTCTAGACAGAGATAAGGAAGTACTGTAGGTGTTGTGCCATCTTCCCCTTCAAAAATGTTCTGTATGTATTTTCAACCCAAATGTCCTGGTTCACCTTCCTTCTTTCTTTATACCCTCTTCTGTCTCCAGTTTCTGGTCTGCTTTTGGTCAGACAGAAAGCACTAAAGCCACATTCTTACTTCATCTTGATAAGCAATACTTTCTTAACCTCCATTGTGCACTGAAGCTGGGTTAAACCACAATTTATCATGAGGCAACAGCTTGGAAGCTTTTCTTGGCAAATGCTGTTGGGTCGTGATCCTGCATATCTCTTGTCCCATCAGTCTACTTCTTAAAAGTACTGGTCAGGCCGGAGGGTGGAGAAGCCTGACATACCTACGTGATTGCACCTCACAGAACAGTTGCTGCTCATTTAAAGTGACTACGTGAACTGACCTTATCCACACTAAGAACCTCAGCAGAACCCAGAAGTTTTCTAATGATTATCCCCCAAATATTAGACCCTCTTCCTTTGAGAGTCGCGCAAGCACATGTGGCCCCAACCCAGCCATACCTCGTACATCATAGGCCCTCTGTACCCGGCGGAGGGCATCCCGTGCCCCATTCGGTTCGTCCTCCATGGTGGTCACGACAGTGACAGGGAGGCCAAAGTTGCGCAATGACTCCGCCAGGCCTTGCCCTACTTCCACCCAGAGGTCCTGGCCAGAGCTGATCACAGCAACGTGGGCCCAGCGGAAGTACTTGAGCACGGTGTAGAGGACGGCGGAGGCCTGGGGCAGCGGCCGGGAAAAGGTGCCGAAACGTTCCACCTCGGCATCGTCAGTCAAGCAAGACCAGGAGAAGACGGGCTTGTTCCAAGCTCTGCCCAACAGCCCAGCTGCCTCACAGGTGGCTGGGTTGACCGGGCCCACGAAGCCAGAGGCATAGCGCTCCGAGTTGACAAAGCTAACCATGGCCTGAGACGACTTGCAGTCTTCGTTGAGGAGGACATAGTCAAACCAGTAGCCCTGGTTCAGAGTAGGGTCCTTGTTGATGCGGGCAACGGCCAGCTTGGCCGCTGCGTCAGGGTAGGCCCTGGCGTAGATGGAGTCGCAGGTCCAAGGGCCCATCACGCCCACCTTGAAGGTTGATGGCAGGACGCGGCAGGGCAAAGAGAGGAACAAGAGCCAGAAGAGGAGGGCTTGCCGGCGGGGGCCCTTGCAGCAGGCCCACCTGGGGTGGTTGGAAAGGCGGAGCAGGAATCTGTGGAAGCCAAGCCAGGCTAGGATCATGGTGTCGCAGAGCCCGGGAATGGCGCAGTGGTGGGGGGAGGGGGAAGGGAGGGGAAGAAGAGGGAGAAGGCACGGCTCACAAATCCTTTAGTCCCTCAGGGGCCTGGGCCAGAAGTCTTTTGTCGGAGTGGGTCCATTTGCCGCCATCAACTTGGTTAAGATTCACCACACGCAGTCAAGAGAAATCACCCTGGAATAGGGAAAAAAAGAGCAACATCACACTATGCTGGGGAAAGGATGCTTGAGGCATTGCCACAAACAACACGGTTTACATGTCCTGTGTTTGTTTTTAATCTCATTTCTTTTTAAAAAAACTTTTTTTTAAGACTGGGTAGTGTTACGCAGCCCACAGAAAGTTGGGTAAACAGCATGCGGACAAACACCTCTCCACTTTGGGCAGCCATCTTGTTACCGAAGGCCAACTTGTTGCCCATAGCAACTACCTCCCCATCTTCACAGGTGTAAAATGAACAAAAAGCACCACTCCAGGTTAGCTACTACGGAGCCATATTTGATGCCCAGCTTTCAGGGCTTGTGGTGCTTACAAATATAATTTGCTTCGCATTTCTTTTGGGCAAGGCAAACAATCCCATAGCGTAACTGGGGAGGGGGCAGATATCACCGCACCTCCCAGAGAGAGAGAGAGAGAGAGAGAGAGAGGTCATGACAGGAGAGGCAGCCAGCTGCTTTGGCCAAAGTCCACCCTATTCTACCAGCCTTGGGCGGTATTATCCAAATTACTGTTCTGCTCATGCTCCAGCACCTCAGCGAAGCTGCCCCATCCCTCAAATCCTAATCTTGCAGCTGAACTAAAACAGGATTAGCCTTTTGGCCCCAGCTGCCTCTTCGTATTAGGTGTGAATCGGTGCGATGGCGCTCACGTGCCCACAAGTGCTCAGCAGGTCACCTCTACCAACTCCTTTTACCCTTTACTATGAATAATGTTGCAAGGTGTGTTTGTGCGTGTGGAGTTATAGAGGGGGAAAGAGCTATCAGGTCTTAATTTTACACCCTTTGAGAAGAACTGGAAATGTGAGGGAAAGCTGGAAAACCACAAGCATGGATTGTGTTTTCTTTTCACACAATGATGGCATGTAAGGTCTGTTTCAGTGTGTTATTTGAAACCAACAAGCATAATGATATTTGTTACTGATGGTCAAGAACACAGAGCTGTTTTACTGGAAAAAATATTGTCTTTGCCACACCTTTAACACTTATTGGAATTTTTACACTGGCTCATTCTTGCATTTTTCCAAACATAATAATTTTCTGGGTGAATGGCATCCCCCCACCCCAATCTATGTACTAGATTTACGCTTACTGTGGCCCATGCTATTTTTAAATTTATTTATGGTATGCAATGGCTTCTGTGTGGCTGGTTAGAAACCAGCTTTCTCCAGCTGATAACCCTGTGTAGCAACATTAGCAAGTTCCAAAATCCCAAATACCAGAATCTGAGGTGGGGCAAGGACTTAATTATAAGACATGCTGGACATTTTACAGAGCTCCAATGCCTAAATATATATTTTTTTAAAATTAAAGATTGCATAGATGAAAACGGAATTAATCTTTCAAAATGTGAGCTTGCAAAAATATTTGGGGGGAGGGGCACATATTTAAGACATCTGCAAAAATATGCTTCTATGCTATTCTCATTATCCCACTGGGAAGAGCTTTTGCATTATGCAACACGAGACAAGTCTACCTATTTTCATCTGACAAAGGTCAAGCGACTTGCCTTTCCACACCTGTGGATCTATTAAAAACTGAGTGCAAAGCTGGTGACCTACATTTACAATTCGGTGGAACGTTGTGAAATTCAGCAAGGCACAGTTGCTAATGAAGAAACCACATGGATGTTTCTCTGGCTGAATCCCGCTGATGAAGATGCCCGTATTTGCTTTTGATACAGATGAGTTTTCCGCGCAAGACTAGAGTGGGTCCCAATCAGGCCTATTCTGGTCTCAAAGCCAGGTCCTGAAATAGGCTGTGAAAATTACACCTTATTGTCTAGACACTGCCTGCTTCTTCTGTCCCCTATCTCCCTCTACTCCATAGATTGGACGGACAGCAACGACCATAATCCCTGACCACTAGTCATGCTAGCTGAGACAGAGGGGAGTCATCTGGAGGGTCATAGCTTAGCCATGCCTGCTTTTCTGTCTTTTTCACACACACCATTTCAGAGGGTAAATCTTTCCCACCCGCTGCAACACAACGACAAACATCACCTGTACATCTGCATCTTTGATGCATCTTTTATAAATACAGTGGTTAATTACACTGTTTCATGGAGGGTAAGGCTATCGGTGGCTACTAGCAATGACCACTGTGATGTATCCTACCTCCCCGCAGACTGTCTCACCAGAGTGGTGCATGCACTAGTTATCTACTGCATGGACTACTGCCATGCGCTCTACGTGGGGCTACCTTTGAAGGTGACCCGGAAACTACAACTAATCCAGAATGTGGCAGCTAGACTGGTGACTGGGAGCAGCCGCCGATACCACATAACACAGGGCTTGAAAGACCTACACTGGCTCCCAGTACGTTTCCGGGCACAATTCAAAGTGTTGGTGCTGACCTTGAAAGCCCTAAATGGCCTCAAAGGCCCAGTAGACCTGAAGGAGCATCTTCACCCCCCTCGTTCAGCCCGGACACTGATGTCCAGCTCCGAGGGCCTTCTGGCGGTTCCCTCGCCCCGAGAAGCCAAGTTACAGGGAACCAGGCTGAGGGCCTTCTCAGTGGTGGCACCCGATCTGTGGAACGCCCTCCCAGCAGATGTCAAAGAGAAAAACAACTACCAGACTTTTAGAAGACATCTGAAGGCAGCCCTGTTTAGGGAAGCTTTTAATGTTTAAAAGGCTATTGTATTTTAATATTCTGTTGGAAGTGGCCCAGAGTGGCTGGGGAAACCCAGCCAGATGGGCGGGGTATAAATTATATTATCATCATCATCATCTCCGCTGCTGGAGTCAGTATGCCTCTGAATGCCTCCATCCCTGACAGAAAATAGCAGAAAATAGCTACGCATAAAGAGAAAGAGAGAGAGAGCTTCCAGACAGCCTTGAGCTCTGACAACTCTTGCTTTAGAAAACAAATACGGACAACACGAATGCTCATCATCTCTAGATGGATGCGAAGGGGACCACGCAACTCCACAGGGTCAAGATGCCCACAACTTCATGGGGCCTATAGGACAAAACTAACCAACCACTTTTTTTATCCTGCACAGGAAATGCACCTCATTCATTTCCCCTTGGGGTTTACTCATCCGATGAGAAAGGGGTGCAGGCATGACTGATCCTATTTGGCTCAGGGGAAGAATGCGTCACCGCCAGCACCACACAAACACAAACTTGGGTCATGCTGGCCGATGAACCCGCAATCATAGATATGAATCTATGTATTAGTTACGTACCAGTTATTTTTATTGTTTCTGTAGCATGTGCTTTGGCTAGCTTAGTTTTGGGATCACTCATGCAATTTGCTGTGCAGTAACTTTTGCACAACATAATTATTTTATTTTATCTATTACTCACTCACAACCCAGAATTATGCGTGGCTTTCTGAGACAGGCATGCCCAAGGACCAATCAGGAAGCAGGTGCTTTAAGGCCCGGCCTCCGTTTTCTGAGATTCCCCCCCAAAAAAATATATATATTATTAATTTTCCACAAATTTTGCACATATAATTCTAATGCATAATAAACATTCATTTTGTTTTTTTAATTAAACAAAAACTGAGATAATTTTGACAAGGAGAGCTGTTTTAATTCCTTCGCGCTCTCAAAGGAACGTTGCCCACAAGCTGCCCGACTAAAGCTGCTAACAAGGGCTTTGCTGGACCTTCGACGGCAAAGAGAAAACCAATTTTTACACAGCTTTGAAGCAGGGATAGTGTAAAAAAAAAACTGGCATGCCACACTCTCTCCTGTTTCATAAAAGTCCCCCTCTCATTTTCCTGGCACATTACACCTGCTGTTCTGTACAAAGCGGTGTCCTGAAAAGATGAGAAATAAGGCTTCTTATAGTAGATGCCCCGTACACCCCAGGTAGTGTAGTTGCTGACCTTGAGCCAGACATCCTGGAAAGTGAAGTCAAATGGGCCTTAGAAAGCACTGCAAATAACAAGGCCAGTGGAAGTGATGGTATTCCAGCTGAACTATTTAAAATTTTAAAAGATGATGCTGTTAAGGTGCTACACTCAATATGCCAGCAAATTTGGAAAACTCAGCAGTGGCCAGAAGATTGGAGAAGATCAGTCTACATCCCAATCCCAAAGAAGGGCAGTGCCAAAGAATGCTCCAACTACCGCACAATTGCACTCATTTCACACGCTAGCAAGGTTATGCTTAAGATTCTACAAGGAAGGCTCAAGCAGTATGTGGATCGAGAACTCCCAGAAGTGCAAGCTGGATTTAGAAGAGGCAGAGGAACCAGAGACCAAATTGCAAACATGCGCTGGATTATGGAGAAAGCTAGAGAGTTCCAGAAAGACATCTACTTCTGCTTCATTGACTATGCAAAAGCCTTTGACTGTGTCGACCACAGCAAACTATGGCAAGTTCTTAAAGAAATGGGAGTGCCTGATCACCTCATCTGTCTCCTGAGAAATCTCTATGTGGGACAAGAAGCTACAGTTAGAACTGGATATGGAACAACTGATTGGTTCAAAATTGGGAAAGGAGTACGACAAGGCTGTATTTTGTCTCCCTGCTTATTTAATTTATATGCAGAATACATCAAGCGAAAGGCTGGGCTGGATGAATCTCAAGATGGAATTAAGATTGCCGGAAGAAATATCAACAACCTCAGATATGCAGATGACACAACCTTGATGGCCGAGAGTGAGGAGGAATTAAAGAACCTTTTAATGAGGGTGAAAGAGGAGAGCGCAAAATATGGTCTGAAGCTCAACATCAAAAAAACGAAGATCATGGCCACTGGTCCCATCACCTCCTGGCAAATAGAAGGGGAAGAAATGGAGGCAGTGAGAGATTTTACTTTCTTGGGCTCCATGATCGCTGCAGATGGTGACAGCAGCCACGAAATTAAAAGACGCCTGCTTCTTGGGAGAAGGGCAATGACAGGCCTAGACAGCATCTTGAGAAGTAGAGACGTCACCTTGCCAACAAAGGTCCGTATAGTTAAAGCCGTGGTTTTCCCAGTAGTGATGTATGGAAGTGAGAGCTGGACCATAAAGAAGGCTGATCGCCAAAGAATGGATGCTTTTGAATTATGGTGCTGGAGAAGACTCTTGAGAGTCCCATGGGCTGCAAGAAGATCAAACGCATCCATTCTTAAGGAAATCAGCCGAGTGCTCACTGGAAGGACAGATCGTGAAGCTGAGGCTCCAGTACTTTGGCCACCTCATGAGAAGAGAAGACTCCCTGGAGAAGACACTGATGCTGGGAAAGATGGAGGGCACAAGGAGAAGGGGGCGACAGAGGACGAGATGGCTGGATAGTGTTTTCGAGGTTACCAGCATGA